CAATGGTTTCTCTTGGAGATAGAATGCCCCACTCACCCCTGCCTCCTAATAGCAGGACTAGAAATGGGATCTCCCTCTCTGATGGATCCCAGAACTCCATAAGACTCGGGGCCTAGACGAGCCCCAGTCTGTCCTGAAACTAACCCGGCCCTTACAGGCCTCAAGATGACTGTCCATAAACTCCACAATAGCCTCTCTAACTGAACCGGAAATCACTGGAGTCTGATCGATGATGTTGCGCATAATCTCTGCGGAAATGAAATCCCTCATCTGATCGTCAAGCTGTCCGGCTCTAAAGCCCGAGCCAGACCCCTCCCCTGCACCTGAACTGCCAACTGATATCTCGCGCAACGTCGCCATGCTGAAAATATAACAATCCCTGACCAAATACTTACTACTGCTGAGGGATCTCTCACATACTCTACTAGTTCCTTGGTTTCGCCTCAGCCCCTCTTGAATCGAGTACAGATCCTCTGCTTTCAGTAGTATGGGCCCCTACTACCTTCCACATCTATCCGTACTTCCTCAAGAGTTACCTCAACTCCACCAAGTCCCCTTTACTCTTCTACTGATCTCTGCTACTCTCATCCTAGGCTTGCCCTAGGGAACCTCTGACTCTACTCAAACAGTCCTCAGCTGCTGAAGGCCTCCTAGTAATGCCAATTAGTCACCACCTGAATACCATCACATGTGACGAGGCTCAGATAATCCTTCAAGTAAAAGACTCGTCCCTACAACGGTTGGACTCAAACGAGAGCTGCGCAGTAGGGCCAAATCCAGCACTCTGAGATTATTCAACCCTGATCACATGTGATGAAACGTATTCACCTAATGGCTAACTCTCATCACTCAGAGTCCCATAAAGCACAAAGCAAGCAGCATTCGGATAAGGGAAACATACTCAGGCAAAACAATTCTCATAACAAGAAACTGCACTAGCATATAATGCTAAGCTCATACTTTCAGGCATAACCTACACAGGCTATCCTACTACTGTCTACTCATTACTAGCATGCAACTCTCATCAAGCTGGAACACATAAAGCAGGCACATAAGGCATCATCCTAGATCCTTAGTCCTATTCTAGCATGCTGTTCTACTGAAGCTGGAACTGAAACTGAACTGAAACTGATACTGAAACTGATATTGAAAATAATAACATAACTTGTATGGGTAAATTGGGAGTACTTACTTGAGCTCGGCTGATTGCATGCACGACACCCTTTTCTCTTTTCAAAACTCTTTTTGCTTTTTCTAAAAATTGTTTTTCTTCTCTTCTCAAAATTCTTTTGTAACTACGATTTTTTCTTTTGAAAACTATATACCACTTCCTTAGTTTGAGTTCAGACACACTCGGGAGTGCGCCCGAATCCCTCAAACCAAGGCTCTGATACCAACTTGTAACATCCCAAAAAAACACAGTCTGAAAATTTCGTTTAATTTAATGATAAAACCATAGTCAATAAACCTCATATAGAAATCATAAGCAATGTATCTCAGAATATTATAACAACTGTCAAATATA